CAGATGAAAACAGACATCATCAAAATGTTTTTTCTGTCCGAGTGTAAAGGTGTTGAAAGGTGGTGACATACACATTACTGAGGTTAAAGCTTGTTACTTCAACAGCTGAACAGAACAGAACTAATGGACAACATTAGTCAGGGTGAATTCAGTTTCCTCAACAAAAGGCTTGAGAAGGTATTAAAAAGGCTTAAATTAATTAGTTTTTATTTAATCCATCCATCCTTCAACTTTCTGCTGCTTATCTGTGTCCATGTGATATAAATATCAATAAATCAATGTACTTATTAAATAATAATACTAAATAATTGTAGGCCTTATTGTCCCTATTGGTTTTTCCTCATTGTTAAAAAAATCCTCCTAAATTTAATTTGATGAAGAGTTGTTAAACAGATCAGCTTCCATGTATGAAGAAGTGTAGTAATGCATGTATGTGAAACAGGGTCTCACGTGGCAACATACTTTACCTGAATAAACAAAGGTTACAAATAAATAGAAACCAAATAAAACAGAAAGATTTAATTCCCTAAAAAGATATCTTATCTATATATTTATATCGTGACTCAAACATATGTATTTATATTACTCGTGCTTAAAGAATAAGTGCTTAAATGAATATATGTCATTTGGAGTTGACTTACACACATATTATTAAGTATCATCGATCCTTGTGTTTTCACTGCATGATTTTTAGGACTCTAAGGACCTCTACAGTGAGTGTTTACGCACTTTCTGGAGCTGTCCGAACTGTGACCTCTACATGCCTCTGACTCCACTGGAGCGCATGCAGCACGAGGCCTCCTGCAGGCCAGCAGGAGAACAGCAGCAGGCGGAAGAAGGTTAGAAACTCCTTATGTTATCTATTTTGAAGTATCTTTCTGGTATTAGATTACTTAAACAAATGCACAAGCTAACATACTCAGCAGCCGACAGATAATTGGTGTGAGATTAATAATTTGAGACTAATTGAGGGTATGTGTTGTGGTTTTCAGAGCCTGCAGATGAAAAGCCAGGCTCATCGTCAGTGTCCAGTCTCACCAGAGTTTATCACTGTGATGTCTGTAATGAAGACTTGACCCTCACCCCAACTGAGATCCTCAAACATAAACGGCAGCACATGTACTCTGCCAAGTAACAGACCACTAACTGACCGCAGGACCCAAAGGACAACAACTAATCACAACTTTTGTCTGTTCTGTCGAGGATACACTGAATTAATGGAATAACGTCTTTTTTTACCATAACATTTGTGACACATTTCCTTCCTTTTGTACTTGAGAAACTTTAAATTAAAGTGTTGTTACTTCCCTCTGATGATAACCAGATATATTTTCTGCCACCTTCTGTATAGTTCTGTTCCAATAGGGGATATCCACATTTGTAAAAACCAAAATCCCAAAATAGTCCCAAGATAGTCCAGTCCCAAAATAATTGTTCCAAAATTTAAGCGTATTATGGTGTTATTCAAAGGCTGGAAATATAGTAAACCTTTGCTTAACAAAAGAACACGCTTAATGTTTTTCCAGATTCCTTTGTGAGCCTCGTGGATGTTTTGATACAGTGTTTGGGAAAAGGCACAGTCAGTTAATGACATGTACGAGTGAGAGAGAAGAAGACACTGATTTTAAAATATAGAGTGAGGGTTTAATAATGATACAAACCCACGATATGTAACACCTCAAAGCAGCACATTGGCACAAAGTCAGAAGTAAGACAGCACGGAAGATAAAAACCTGTCTCAAAAAAATAAAGAATCAGAATAAATATCTCAATAAATAAATAAACAGGTAATATCTCATTAATTACTTTGAAACTAATAAATACGTACATTTGAAAATATGCACATCGGCAGAAATCAATGAACAAAAAAGTAAATAGTACTTAATACAGAGTTACTTAGAAATCATAAGTTATTGATTACTCAAATCAAAAGGCACATTTATTAAGATGTAAGAATGGGGCCTGCAGTTGTGATCGCATGACTGTCAGTACTGTACTCTAACACCATTTCTGGACCAGAAGTAGCAAACTGTGTGCAATGGCTTTACTAGTTCTGTATATCTGCACCATCGAGTGAACATGTGTGTCTGTGTGTGCAGGTCTATGCATCGCAGATTTGTGGGGATTTTGTGTGTTTGTGTGGGACAAAGGGTTAACGTGGGAACAGGGAATGGCAGTCTTCTGACCGACTGAGTTTGTGTTTCCTGCTTTTGTGACAGGAAGTATTTTTTGTTTTTTTTGTTTGTTTTTTTTGTTTGTTTTTTTTTGTTTTAGTTTTACCTGGGCCAACATTGTTGGCAGGCTGGCCTAGTAGTGAAGACGACCAACCCATAACCGAGAGGTCAAGGGTTGTGTTCATCAGTAGTTCATCAGTAGTCGTGTGTCCTGACTCTGAACCCCACTGCCTGTTCACTCGCTTTAAGTCACTTTGGATAAAAGTTCTTGGCTAAACCTAAAATGAAAATAATCTGCTGAAGCGTCTGAAAGGTTCATTCTGCCATAATTTAAAGTCTACCAAGTGATCCCTCATTTGAGACATGAGATTGCAGTATAACTAGTCAGCACTGGTTTCCCAGTAATATATGTATTACCATCTTAAATTTAAAGGAGAATGCCTCTGGATTTAAAAGAGAAATCCCCCCACAGATTCTCTTTTGAAGATATCATCATTCTGTGATGCTCAGTGCATTTCATTAGTTATTTTGTCATATTTGTTTTTTGTCATTTATTTTGCAGAGCTCCACTTTTACTCAACCTGCAAAATCAACATCTAGCCTGCTTTGTGATCACTTACAATTTTTAGGAAATCTTTCCAGAACTCACAGAAAACCAGGCGTAAGCTTGTTGCATTCGGTAGTTGGTTCTTTGTAAAGGTGCGAAGACCAATAACAACGGTTACATCAATATTAAAGCCTCGGTTTTTCCAGTCAACAAAAAAAAAAAAAAGAAAAGAAAAGAAAATCTAATGGATCTTGTGGCTGCATTGCATTTTGGTCAAGAGTCAAATTGATGTCTCTCCCTCTTCTTTAATGTTTCACCTTGCATGATTGTTAAACACTGGTGCAAAGTGCAAACATTAAAAAATTATGTTCATATTGACATATTAGATTTAAAAAAACAAAAAAAAAACAATATTCTGTTTAAAATCTGTTGGAGCTGTGATTCATCTACCTTAATCAACCCTTGGCCAGGTATTAACTGGAAGTAGAAAAATATACCACCAATCTGCAAAATAGACACAGAAATGCAAGGTACATCACCAGAAGCATTTTTAAAAAATGTCTTGGGGTGAATTAATCTTTAAGTCCAACTATAAACTTACAAAAACCTTCTTCACACACTTTCTAGCATCCTCAACAACTTGGGTGGGATAAGAATTTGAAGATTGTTTCTGACTCTGCCACATCACCTCAGTGGGAAAGTTTGAAAAGGTTTAGGACAGGACATAAAATAGCAGCTTTTTTTTAACTTCATACTTAAAGCAACATTCAGCAAACACATCCGCCACTGTTCCCAAACAAAGACCTTCCACCATTCATCTTTTTCAAGTTAATGTGTCTCTTTTCTTATCACAGGGTCAACAGTCTTCAGCACGGCGTGTTTATATGTCACACACGTGAGCTACGTGCTGCTACTCAAATCAAGTTTGTGTTCCTACTTCTCTTTTCTGCTTGATATCGAACACAATAACACACTACAGTATTTAGTTCCAACACTTTTCAATTTCTGCGTAGTTTTCCCTAATGTGAGCGACTGGTACAAAAATACTCTCTCAATACATTGTTCATTGCACTTAAGTTTTTGGTGGCGTCTCATTCAAAGGCCTAGACATGTCTACAGATTGGTTAGCACGGGGTCCTGTTTTCGTTAGTCTTTGGGGCTGGGACTGTATGGTCGTCGTGTACATTAGGTAGAATAGACTCGCTCAGAGACCTCAATTGTAAGCACCTTGACTGATTTAACAAGTACAGTGGTTGGATGTGATGTTTTCTATGATTAATATTGAAAATAGGTGAAAAGATGAAAAAATATGTGTAAAATGAGGGTGTTTAATGCTCGACACACATTCTTGATTTTTTTTTTTTTTTTTTCAGAAAACAAAAATAATCTTGTGTTTGGTTACAAAGGACCATAATGAATCACATTATGACTTTTAAGTCTTTGTGGTTGTCATTGCAACTTCCCTTAACAATAATTGTCCCTTTGCATTTGATAACCTTCCTTCCACTGTGGTCTACTACTTTAACCGAAAGACAACACTAGTGGTCTCAGATGCTAATACTTTTTTTAAAGACTGCATTCACTCTTCGTCACTCTCTTCAAACCTCTGTCTCGTTCTCTTCTTGACCAGGGTTTGTTTGTGTAACATCTGAGGTAAAATTAGAGGTAAAGGGTGACATCTGTTCATCTGACTGATAAACAGGCCAACATGAAACAAATAACTTCCCCAAGATCTCATGTTTGTGAATACGTGATAGTGTGTGCCACTGGGGGATTCTGTCAATATGTTTTACATTTAATAAAATATACCAATTAAAATTATTACAATCATATATATAAACATCTTTTGTTTTTTGTGTTTTTCTTTCTAAATAAAAAAACAAAACCAAAAAAAACCAAAAAAAAACGGACATTTGAAACAGTGTACACATCATCGTTGCCTCTGCCACTCTTCCCGTCGTAAAGTTTCTGACTGCTAACTCTAGATCAGCCAACCCTCAGTAAATCCACTATGAAGGCTCCAGATGACTCCCACAGAGCCTGGTCTGAGTGCAGCGCACCTTCAGCAGGCATGGACCAGTGAGGAAGGCCCCAGGTTGAAAAGAGAAAGAGCGGAATGCAGTGGAAGGCCGTGGGGCTTTGGAGGGCCACGTCAGGGGTCTGGGTCTACTGAGAGCACTGTTCCACCTGCTAAGCTCCTGCGTCCCTACAGATGCTCTCTCTTCTCAACACCCAAACCCTCTTGGTCCAGAGAACCCCTCCCACCCCCTAGCCTGGCCTCATCGGACCGCCTTGTGCTTTCCCCCACAGCAGCCACACCTCTCCCCACACCGCAGGCAGGCGCGCAAAGGCAGGTAGCAGCACATGCAGGGCACGAAGAGCGACAGGGCCAGGAGGGCCAACCAGCGGGCACAGCAAAGGGGATGCGGGTGACCCCCCATCGAGTCATCACACGAGCAAGGCTCCCAGAACTCTCCCTCAGAGTCCGACATGCAGTGGTATAGCAGACTCTCTGCACACCACACACAGGTCCACTGGCGCAGGCAGTGCAGGGCCGGGTCTGGGGCATCTCTGCAGCGGCCCCGCCCGTTCTCCGAAGCGCTGAAAACAGAGCGGCAGTACACACAGCGAGATGAGCATGACGATGAAGCCTGAGGACACGGGCTGTCGTCATCAGGGGAGATTACCCCCGGGTCACCGCTGCTGCTGGCCCCTCCTCCTCTCTTACGAGTCCGCGACCGAGGCGTGGCCAGTGAGGTGTGGATGCAGCACGGAGAGGGCGAGCCTTTTCCGGTCTCCTGGGGTGAGCCAGCACCTGAGGACACGCCTGACACAGCGTTGGGCATGGACATACAGGTGGGCGACGACGAGGACAGACGCTGGGAAGCTTTACTGTCCAAGCTCACGGTCACGTCGCAGCCTGCCGTGCCCACTCCTGCCAGCTCCTTCTCAAAGCGAACCACGCACAGCTCTGACTTGTCCTGCAGACTCCCTCCGCCACCAACGACCACACCCCCAGTCAGCCCCCCGACCATAGTCCTGGTGGCCCCGGCCCTTCGGTAGTCCTCATAACCTCTAGAACCCCACAGGTCTTTACAAGGGTCCACACTGCGAAGGTCTCCCTCTTCCAGCAGAGAAATGGTAGGTGAGAGGGGCGACAGAGGAGATGAGGCTGGGGGACCCACAGGAGGAGTAGGTGGAGCAGGAGGTGGGGGCGGGGGTGCTGGGGGATTCAACACAGCCGTCATTTGTGAGAGCTGGTGCTGTCCCGGCCTGGTGTGGATCTGTGGAGAGGGTATAGGATTACAGAGTGAGTCAGGAACAGTGTGTACTGTGGCAGCAATTACAGAAGGTTCACATCTCTAGGATAACTCTGGATGCACAAGTGATCAAGAACCCCTAATCTGATAAGATTTTATTCTATGGGATGTCAACCGGTTGTTAAGATTTTACTTTTACATCATGTAGAAAAAATATGTCTCTGCTGGAGGTGTGGAGTTAAAGGTGAAGGAAGAAGCAAAAGAAATTCTAACCAAAAAGTCAAACTTCTGTGTTTTTCTGTGTGAAAATGTCTAATAATGAATTTGAAATAAAGTTAATTTTGCTGGAAACCCCCGAATGGACACAAGGCGGTTCCCAGAACCCTCTTTAAAAACTCTTTTTATATGGTAATCATTATTGGAACTCATAAGTGTGACAAGACCAGGTACAGAGAAATCTAATGAATATTAAATCAACACGTGTCTGTTCTTTTGGACATCTTATTATCACAGTGAAGTACCAGAAGGTGTTGTTCTACCTGAGCAGGTGTCTGAGTGGTGACAGCATGGCTGGATCCAAAACTAAATTCATCTGACCGCACGAAGCAGGTAGACGACGACTCGCTCGTCACTATGGTGATGGGTTTGGGAAGCATCTCCTTTCTGCTGTTGGATGACGACTCACTTCCTGTATGGGACTGGCAGAGGCTACATGTCATCCAACAAGTCAAAAACACCAATAACTGCATTGGGGCCCACAGGGAGCATAAACGAGCCCTTTTAGACAATAAATGCTCAGATGACAAACTGCTCGGATACTCACAGCTTGTCCATCATCCTCGGTGTCTGCCTCTTCTGGTGTGGAGGATGAGGGCGAGTCAGAGCCTTGATAACATGAAAAGAGAGGATTTAAGCTTTCCTGGATATTTCCTAACGCCGATTTGAACACGACTAATGAAATCAGTTCTTATATGTGGCTCGTGTTATCTCTACCTCTGTCGAGCTTGTCTATGACAGTCTGCAGCCCTTTCTCAAAGGAGATGGCATCGGCAGGACTCTGGAACGTAAGGCCAAACTTTCGATCTTCTACCCGCCAGTGATGGAAGATGGGGTTCACCTTGTTGTACACTAACCCCCTCTGCACTGCACACTCCAACACAGGCTAAAGACACAAACAGCAACCCCAAGCAAGCCAGTTAGTTCACCAATCAAGATATAGAACTTCCTGAAAACTTGCCATCACATGACATGCATCTACAGTCTTTAGGTGGTGTTGAGGAACAACGTGGCACCAAAGACAGCCATAACACACACGCACACACTCACTGCTCGATCTCGCAGCCGTTCTCCACGTATGATGTATTCTCTCCGCCCCCTGCCGTCATGAGTCCGCCCCTTACATATGACCACATGACTGAGGCCGCCACCTCCAAGGGGCACCCAACCGCCACTGGAGTCATCACGTGTCATCACCACTGCACGAACACGCACGCTGTCAGGGAAGCCGAGAGAGTGAGCAGAGGCCCAGGCTGATTAAACAACAATGATACACATACACGGACGCACATATACAAATACACACGCAAACATGCACGCACTGACACACACGTTCATTCAGCTGAGGAAGGAGAAGCCTAGATCTACTTCCATAGCCAATACAGAAATGCAGAGCAAATGTCAGTGTGGTGACTGCGTGCTAAGGCAACTGTTTTCAGCCTTGCTGAACTAAGGTAACATGAGGAAATTCACACAAAGAAGACACAACTGACAGGTTGGCCTGCACGAGGACTGGCGCTGCAACATGACAGCTCAAATGAATATCATACAGTAAAGAGCCTTTTTTTTAATAGTCCATGATCACATGATTGAGGTAAAGCTGATTTTAAATTAGCATGTGAGGACGATAAAGACATATGAAATATTTAGATCTGTCAGCTTTAGCATTATTTCAACATATCTGCTGCTAGGTGAAGATGAGAATTAAAACAGGGATGTTCTGTGTTCGATTGACTGTCAACTATATGCGCTGAGAATAAGGCAACTATGATGCAAATGGCGAGAAAGAAAGAAAGAAAGAAAGAAAGAAAGAAAGAAAAAGAAAGAAAGCAAGCAAGCCAGCTTTGGGGGGGTGGGGGGGTGGCCAAATGGGAGGAGGGAGGAAGAATGAGTGTTTCCCAGATAGATGTATCAATGAACGCACCCATTCGCCATCAGAGGCCCCGGCATTCTTGCAAAAATAAGCTCTGCCCTCGCCAATCGGCTGAATAATTCAGCACCGCAGTTCGACATGTGCATGTAATGCGTGCACAGCCACGTCTCTTTGCTATTTTCAAATCAAGCCGAATTTTAATTGTTGCAATTATTTTTCCCAGACGCTCCTTTTCTCCATTCCGCCCCTGCTGCACGCACTCATTAACACACCCCGATATTATGTTATATTTTTTATGAATGGGATGGAGGGAGACGGGATTCGACATCGCACCGTGCGTTTATACATTTCGCCGGAAAATGTATTAGGCCTAAATACAATGCAATCGCGTGTGAAAAAGGGGAAGGAAAAAAGGAACGAGTGGGTGAGAGGATGGAGAGCAAACGAGAGATGGGGGGAGGGGGCCGATTAGAAAAGGGAAGGAGGAGAGGAGGGGTGAGGATGAGGGAGAGCGAGAGAGAGAGAAAAAAAAATCACATTTCATTCATAAAGTTTGGCTTTAAAAAATCATAATGAAACCCCGAGACACGTTGATAAAAATCACAACGCCTCCATCCCTCCCTCGTTTTACTGTAGCCATGTCTTGAATGACGCGATGCTGGCCCCAAACTCGCCATATTTCGCCTTTTTTCCCCATACATTTTACACATTGACTGATTTCATGACTGTTTTTACCAATCGCTAGCCACGCATTTAGTTTTGAATTGTTGCATAGCTTCTTAATACATTTCAGTATTATTATTATCTCTTATATTGTGCGTGTAGATTGAGTGCCGGTCGTCTAAAAGCACAGGTCCACATGTAGGTGGCTTAACATTTATCACATATTGGCATGGATATATCGGAAATGGGGTGTATGCTGTTGATTCAAGACTACGTAATGGTGTTTTTATTCTCGGCAGCCTGCTAAATTGTAGAGCAACGATTGTGATAATAGTGCATGATGCTGGGTTGGTGTAACATTGATGGCGGTGGCGTTCTTTCTATCCGTTTTGGCGGATGGCTGAATATATATCTGCAATGTTAAAAATGAAAATGTAAGGACTTACTCGCCCTCCATGGCTCGGTGTTGCCCGCCGCTTGCAGCAGCCCACCCCAGGGTCTCCTCTCTCTCTCTCTTTTTATCCTCCTTTCAGGAAACACTCACAGACTCACTCACATTCTCTCTCTATCTGCTCTCATTTTCCTAATCTTTCTCTCTCTCCCTCTCTCTCTTGCTCTCGCTCTCTCTCTCCACCTTGATGTCGTTTCGGTGTATCAGGATAGGCTTGAGGTTGCAGCAGCCATTTTCCGCTGGCAGCATCCTCCCTCTCCCTCCCCCCTCCCTCCTTCTCTCTCTCTCTCTCTCTCTCTCCCTCTCTCTCTCCAAATCACTCCCTCGCTTATTCCCTTTCTCACTCTACCTGCCCTGTGCCAACACATCCGCACTAATCATTGACAGCATCATGGCTTTAGGTGGGATATATGGTTTGTCAGTGTAACCATGTGATTGGAAATTATTGAAAGTGAACACTGACTTGCTGATATATGCAGTGACGTGGGTGGTAAGTGAAAAGCTCGGAAAAACCTTCAATGACCTCCGGGTGATCCTTTGATTGTCACGGGGCAAACACATTCTATAGACCAAACTTAAAATATAGGTAAAATCAAATTAGTGTATTTGCCCTTCATTGCATATTTGCTGACATTTGTGTTTTTAAACGACGCAAGCACAGCCTGGCTTATTGTTGTGTTCATATGATTATATTCTTTAATTTTTAACAGTGCATAGTTTCCTATCATGGGCAGGAAAAGAACACAATCTTTCCCAGTGTCCCTTAAGATCCTAGTGTTGAGCAACAAAGGTTTCAGCACCTTGGACAGCAATACCTCTCGATTTAAAGACACGGCGGCGTCTTCCACTTTAACACATGCTTCATTAGGTTTATAAATTGGTGAAATGACTGAACCATTGTGAATAATATTCTATTTGCAGTACTCTGGACTAAGAATAAAGTTATTTTATATTACTTTGTGGTTACTTAATTTTTTAAAATCCTTAAATATACAAATCTGACGTCGCAATGCCGTCGCAATCACGATTTTGGCTGGTTTGTTGTTTTTATAGTATTATAGTGAGAATAGTGCTTTAGTTATCTCTAAATACTGACTTTTGACTATGCAGGGTGTAGGATAAAATTATTTTAAACTAATAATAATAAATACATAGCCTATATCCTATGTCATCGAGTATGAAAACGGAACCAGAATGACTCGACGGTCAACAGTGTCTCTACATTGGATTAGTCACTTGTAACAGGTAACTAGCCTACAGTAAACTTACACTGGGCTGTAATTAGCATAGAGCATATGTTTGCAAACATTAAGGCCACGGGTGTTTTCGTGGTGTACAGAGGGTTAAGAGTTGTATAAAGTAACAAACCAAACTTCATTAGGCCTAATTCAAGTCTTTTCCAGAGCAGTGGTACCTACATGTCAATATATGGTTCTTTAGTCTCAGGGTAGCATTGTGCGCCCGTTTAGCATTGTTTCGCAACTGAGTTGCTTTATTTATACGCAAAAAACTCACACAAAGAACTGTATTGTAGAGTAATGGTTACAAAACTGAATGGCATTATTGCATGCTGTCGCCAGGTCGTTTTGAACCACTTTGCGCCCATCAATGATAGTAACGCTTTTTTATCCACGTTTGTCCTTTTGCTCCTAAACTGATCGGATACTGAATTAGCAGTTACATACCAGAGGAACTCCAGATCCAGGTCCAGATGCTGCTCTGTGGCTTCTTGCACTCAAGACTCTGGGGAGGCGACAAATTCAAAAGACTATTTCCCGGACTGGATCACCAGAATAGCACACTTGTATTTTCATGTTTGCCTTGTGCAACCCTGTTGTTGAAGTAGAGTTAAGTTACTGAAACCAGTTAATCACACAGGTTAGTTTCGTGGTTTTAACATAACCGGCCTATAGCAGGTATTTATAGCTCCTTCCATTAATTTGAGGAAATAACGCCACGTATATCAGCACCAAGGACAGAGCCTCAACAACCTGATTGCACACAAATAGCTACTTGTTTATGATGGTTCTGTCTTCACTTGTACAGTCAAATTTAAACAGTTTAAAATGTCATGACATGTGTTTTACATATAACTTTTTACAAAATGAACGCAAAGGACACATTTATCAAATCTTGAAACTAATCCACACTTAATTAATTATAACACTCTACTACCGATAGGCTTATAATTCTATTTTACAAAAGGTTAATGCAGGACACATCGTGGTGATTGATATGAGCCAGCATAGTCTTTGACACTTAAGATTTAACGTAGTACCAATTTCTGATAAGGCACCATTCATAAGGGGTTTATCAGACATAATTAATGGATTTAGTTATGGTTAAGGTTTATCAGACGTAATTAATGGATTCAGTGATGGCTAATATATAATTTACTAATGCTTTATACTTTAGTTATGAGCCATAAATAAGAACAACTTTTGGGTTGCCAGTTTGTGGAAAATCTTCCACCAGCATATTTTGCTTGGCTTTGACATGTTATGATATAATAATTTAGAGTTTGACAAGCTGTTGATATGCCTGCAAAAGTACTTGTAGAAAGAAAAATACAGTACAATGTGAAATGTAGTTCCCATTCTGCTCTTTGAATAAAGATTTGCATCTCTGTGCTCTGTTTAAATAAAAAATGTTTTGGTTAATAACGTGGGTATATGTTTCCATCCAGAAATAATACAGTTGTAAATGTTGGTTAACTATCACTTAGGGGTTTTTGCTCTTTCTAGTAAGTCATCAGGTTTGCAATTGTAAATGTCAGAGTGACATTAAAGGGTTTCTCAGTTTCCAATGAGTCCTTAACAAAAGTTAGAAACCTGAAATTATAATAAATCATTAACAAATGATTCCATCTTGCAGTGGTGCAATGGTTAAACAGTTCATTGAAGAGGTCTCCCTGATGAATTACAGAGCTTGCTTGCCTCATGCAAGAAGAGTATATTCCACAATCTGGCAACCCAAAAGTGTTAACTGATCTATAAAGCATTAGTAAATGGTGTATTAACCATTATTAAATCTATTACAGCTTGTAAACCGTTTATGAATGGTGCCAAACATAAAAGGGAAGTTCATTTATGCCAACATGGACAGAGACTGTACACTTCCACCATCACCTCCACCACCTGTGCTTTGTACCCTGCCACCTTCAGTTTCCCATCAAGAATAATACACACTGCAGGATAAACATGGCGGCTTCATTATATTTTACCCATTTTGCCCGGTTGGTGAACATTTGTTGCGCTAATATAAATGAGCGTCCCTCAGGTCAGAGACTAGGGTCTAACAATAGCTCTGATCACCAGCAGCCGTCTGTAACGTGCGGCTGTTGTATGGTTTTGTTTGTTAGAGCAACTGACGAGCTTTCACACCGTTACATCAGAATTAGTTTGTCAGTACAACTTGTATGTTAATCTGATAAACGTCCCTGCAGACCGCCTGGCCGACCACATAGGTTAGTGTGCTTAAAAAACTGAACTTAAATAACTAGCTAACCATAACGTTTGCCTGGTTTTAAGTTAAGCGGTTTAATTGTGTAAAGTTAATGTAGCTTGAGTGCATTTTTAACGAATTTTAGCAAACGGTTTCAACTAACGGTAGCTAACTAGCTACCTTAATATACAAATCAACTTACTTGCTGCGCATCTTTAACCTTGTGTAACTTGAAGTACGTTCCTTTAGCTACAGCATGTAACAGAAAAGGAAAAAATCAAAAGGTTTTCTTTTTTCTTTTAAAGAGAGCAACTGAGCACAACAGATATTTTCTGTTAGCATACTCTGAAATCTGTGGGAAACGCTGAGGTACCGTTAGTCAAACTTAACATCAGTGGTGAAGAACTGTAAATACTTAGCTAAGTACAAATTTGGGGTAGGCCTACTTGTACTTTACTCGAGTATTTTCTTTTCATGCCACCAGCCGTATACATCTACTCCACTACAAACAAAGAATTCTTTTTACTCCACTACATTTAAATTTTTGAGATTTTGTTTTACAAATGCTCTCTTTATAAGACATTCCAACATTGTATATTAATTTTTGTACATGGTATATTATTTGTGGTGAGCCACATACTTGTAATGTTAACACCTCTATGGTCATCTACTGTAACTATATTTTGTTCTCTAATTTTGACCAAACTGTACTGTGCTCTGGCCAAAATGAAAAAAAAATTCATAAAAATACTCACAACTCAGGTAAAATCACTATAAAGCAGGGCATGCAAATATACAAAGTGTCTCCTTGCATCACCTTTTATCTGCCATTACAGGATAAGGCTGGTGTTGGGACTATTTTCAGGAGGATTAATATATATTTGGGGCTCTATAGAGAGTATTTACAGCAGCAGGACACTGTATGTCGGATTGAGTCGAAATAAACTACAGTGGCTGTGGTTTGCGGTAATGAAGGAACCTGTCATCCAATGCAATGATGTGGCACACTGATGTGTTTTTTATAGTTTATGGACAACAGTGGAGTTCTACATTACATCTATCATCATCTATATCAGGCTGTGGATACATAGGCTAGAGTTGGTAGGATCAGTTATTTCATTGGTGGATTTGTTCTTTCCATGGTAAGACTTATCCTTTAAATCTGCTAATAAGTCAACATGTATATTTTGCAGGAAGGCTGAATAAGAAGGATGGGTATTCTACAGTCAAAAAAGGTGAAACAAAAGGAAAATCATCCACACAATAAGGATATAAAAAATGGGACCACAAAAGAAGCAGCAGATAGTCAAGGAGTGGGCCCTACTCAACTTATTAATCATCAAATGGAACCCAGCAATAGTAATGATGCAATGACCACAAAGATGGACCAAGGTCGTACAGTTGATGCCCCTGAACTTCAGGATTTATCTGAAAATTTAAGCCCTCCAGCACAAGTCCTGCAAAAGACAACACCTACAGTGCCGATGCAGCCACAGACAGACAGACAGAAGATGTGTGGCCATTCTCAGCCTGAGGAAACTAGAAATTTCACACTATCACAGCAGAATC